TAAGTGAAATAAATCAGACCTGCATGTGCAATCACCACATTGTTTCACTAGTGTAAAACCTCAAAGAGTTAACTTAAACTAGGAGGTATTGTAGACATTGTGATTGATAGAAAAACAGTCAAGGGTAAAGGGCAACTGGGGTGTGGGAAAAGAGAAGGGAAAGAAGGAGAAATGTTGTACATATGTATATACAGGACAGTTAACATAGTTGTTCCACTGTCTTCCATTTCTTTGCTGAAAGAAACTGTCAAAGAGTCCTTGATTGATCAGTATTGCCTGTCTCTATCTGTTTTCATGAGAAACCATTTTGAAGATATCAATATGGAATACAATAAGGATTGTTAATTTCCTACCACTTTGTTTGTAACTCTGTATTGTCTGTACTGTTCTTTTGCTATTTTGTAAAAGGTTGTCTGTCTGTTAACGTTTTCCTCCATTTATTTTTAACATAAATAGAAAAAAAATTAAAACCATTGCAAGTAAAAAGAGATGAAGGGAAAAATTTGTAAAATAATGAACATTTATGGGGCAAAACGAAAATTACGGTATGAACCATAGTTGCATATACATTGAAAGAAACTACTTTGAAAAATCTAAGTGTATCAAGAATTATTGAACATAGATATTGATCAGGTATGGACTTTTAGAAATCATAACTATTGTCTTTATTTTTTAAATGTCCTTGTCTGTAAGAAGTATGCATTGAAATAGTGAGAGAAGAAATAGTGGCATTCTTCTGATCTGCTTTGCATTCTACCAATGAATTCAATGCACGTGGGTGGGGGAACTCACTGGAACCAGATTTGCTATACAGCAAAGGTTGCGTAGTGCATCCACCATACAATCCTATGTACTATATGATTCAGGATTTCTGTAATACAAAACTTCCATGACAGTAGTATCCATTGTGGGTGAAGTCCTAAGAGACCCTGATCACATTTTAGCAACAAAATTAGTAAATGGCCAAACTGTTCCAAACAGACTGAGAAAACATGAATTCCAGTGCAGGAAGTAAAAGTCCTCAGTGCTCAAGCCACACTCAGATGTTTCAGGACAAGGGAGCTTTGCAGTCCAGTTCCTCCAGTGCCCCGGGCAAGCTAATCCCCGTCAGAAGTCTAGAAGCCACAGCCCAAAGAAATGGTGCTTGTTCAGTACCTGCTTCCAGGCTCGCTCTCTTGGATTCATAAACCAGATGAGCACGCTCCTGGGTAAGAACACTCAAGGCCAACTCTCTGACAGCTACAAAGGTCCTACATAAATAAGTAGCATCTCTAGCATAGAAGGAAACTAAATAAAGAAGTTTGTTCCAAATAATGACAATATGATTTAGCATTAGAAAAAATATCCTTCCCTTTTAATATGTCACATAGAAAATATATCAAATATTTAATCATGTCAGTGCATATAAGAAAAGATTTTGAAAGAAATTCAACATCAGGGCTGGGAATTTAGCTCAGCAGCAAAAGCACCTGCCTGGCAAGTGCAAGGTCGTGAGTTCGGTTCCCGGTACAGAGAAAAAAAAAAAAAAAAAAGAAATTCAACATCAGTTAATGGAAAAATATGTCTTTAACTAGTATAAAAAGGAAACTTCCATTTCCTAAAATCATCAGGAAGCATACTCAAAAGGAAATGGTCAAGGGGCTTGGGGATATATCACAGTGGTTACAGCGCCTGCCTGGCAAGTGCAAGGTCCTGAGTTCGACTCCCAGCACACACACAAAAAAAGGAAATGGTAGAATAGTTATGTTTAAAGTCAGCAAGAAGACATGAATGTACCTTAATGTGTGTATGTTTCACCACAGCACTGAGACGCAAAGTCAGAGCTATGATTACCAAAATAAGTAAGGGACACTAACAGGTAAAAGAATGTTTAAGCAACAATATCATAAAAATTTACAGGAGGTGGAATGTAATATTTAAGTGATTGAGATTTGAGAACCAGGTAAACATCTTAATAGTATGGCCAAATTGAAATATGTTTGACACAAAAAAAAACCCTTTGGATTAGAGCAACTAATAAATAATATGACATCTGTAACAGCAACTAAATCTTAGAGACACTATAACTAAAACGAAGCCTGACAAAGATGATTACAGTCTTTATAGAGGCAACTGTGCTGACAGATTCAGGTAAAAAAGTGTATAATCAATAGAGCAGTGTGTCACAAAACTGTAAAACTCAACTTCCCTTAAATTCCTTATAGTTTAGTGCCTTCCCTGTAACCGCCAAAATGAAAACCTAGCGTAGGTTACTATCTTGTGCTTCCCAATTTAACCCTAGAAACTAACAAGAGAGAGGAAACAAAACTAGCAAGCATTAATAGCAACCATATGTAAAGAACATTTCTTTGAGGAAGCCCTGGAAGAGACTGAAGGCTGTGGAACTGGTACTTGTTTTGGGGGTAGGGGCATGGAAGTGTGGCGGTGGGCCAAGGCCTGCATAGGTGGCCCATGACAGCATGAGTCAGAGGAAAGTTCTAAAACTCCTGACTCTACATGGTTGCACAATCTGAGGCAGTGCCTCACACCAGAGATGCCAGTCACCTACAAGTAACATCAGACAGAAGGAAATGGAGCCAGTGTGGCCGCAGAGACTGAGCTAACATCACCCTAACGGGTGAGGACTGGCTTTCAAAATCATCCCTATTTTAATGCACTGTAAGGAATGTGCTAGAGTAAGAGTAGCATGTACAACAGTGAATCATGCATAGTGACAGTAGATATTCTTTAATAAGTATATGTAGCATATCTACGTGCATGTGCTCAATCATTTCTTTAAATATACACTTAAAACACATCCATTCAACATATATAGTATATTCACTAATACATGCACATATATGCTTTTTTACCTATACATATCAATAACCTAGATGTACACTTTGTATATTTTCTATTGATTTAAAGTCCATACAGACATTTAGTAGACATATAAAATTGCCTCTTGACTCTAAATGGGCATTGAAATGTAACAATCATGCTCTGGACTATCAAAAATTGAATCCCTTCGCTGGGCATGGTGGCGTATGTCTCTAATCCCAGCACTTGGGAGGCTGAGGCAGGAGGATCGTTGTGAGTTTGAGACCAGCCTGGGCTACAAAGTGAGTTCAAGGCCAGTCTGAACTGCATATTGAGACCTTGTCTCAAAAGACCAAAAAAAAAAACAAAAGAAAGAAAGAAAGAAAGAAAGAAAGAAAGAAAGAAAGAAAGAAAGAAAGAAAGAAAAAGAAAATTGGATCCCTTCACAGAAGCAGGACTTACCCAACCTCCGTGCTGCCGCTCACCCTCTTCTCACTCAACATCCATCTTTTAGAAGGAAAGGACGGGAGATCCGCCTCTGGCTGGTGACGAGCCCTCCTAGGAAGATGTGGTTGCCCTTGAAGAGGTCAGCACAATATTTGGCTCCTCGGTGCGGCCCCTCAGTTCAGCCCCAGAGATCCTGGGCAGCGAAGTCAACCTGACAACTCTCCTTCCTTCCCATGGCTGTCACCATGGGGACTATCAGAGACTGAGGAAAGCTGACTGCAGTGGGCAGCACCAGAGACCGAACCCCGCTGGCAAAGACAACGAACGGAGGAATCTGCAGATTATTGTTTGGCTCCTCCTGTCAGACCACGCACGCGTCACCTGATATGACCCCCAGAGATGCACACTCATGGGGTCAGATCAGTGTGATGGACTTGATCTCAGTTTCCGTCTCAAGGAGGGACTGGACTATGTTCCATAAACTTATGACCTGAGGGTGGACTGAGCAAGTGCAGCCCATAGGCAGGGTCTCCAAACCCTCTAGATCAGACTTTTTTGTGAGCCCTGCACGCCAGAGAAAGATTTTCTTGTGAGCACCCTTTGCAGCTCAGGGGAATCTAGGATTGCAAGGCTTCCTCTGGGAGGAACAGATTAAGGTCCGTACACGACAGAGGTCCGCGCTCTGGCCGGAACTAAAGTGACGACCCCCAGAGAGGACAGAGGGGACCCGGAGAATAACAGAGGGGACACAGAGAATCCCCTTCCGCCCTTCTTGTCAGCCATAGGACACGTCAGGCACGTTGCCGGTAGTGACGTCCAAGGAGTAGTGCGTCGAATGGTCGGAGCAACGTGAGATTACTTCGTGAGGTGTGCGCCTCAGGGGAAGGAAGCAGAGAGGGCCGCGTGAATTCGTGAGTCGTGGTATTGGGCTGTGGGGCGTAAGGAAGGCCCAAACTCACAGGGTCACGGTACAACTCAGTTCTGTCTTGTCTCCAGGGCTCACGGAGAGGTCGACTTGTAAGAGTGAGCTTTTCCTTTCTTCAGTCTCGGGGCCCTGAGGTCAGAGGCTTGGTCTGCGGGGAACAGAGTCAGGTCCTTGCAGGATGGTTGTTGGGGTCTGCCAGGAACCGAAGTGGTGACCCTTGAGGACTGAGGGGGAGCAGAAAATCCCTTCACACCCTCGTGCTCAGAAAGCCTCCCCTCATTGTGGGCCAACCACCCCCCCACCCCCCCCACTCCACACCCAACCCCCACTCCACACCCAACCCCCACAGCCCCACCCTTCTCCTTCTCCCCCCCCTCTCCGCCACCCCTAACCCCCAACCGCCTCCACCTCCTTCCCCTCCCCCACAGCTCCAAAACTCTAACCCCCCCCCTCACCCCCATGTGCTGTGGAATGTGACTTCCACTGACTCCAGTTTCCTGGGCTGGTGGAGATGCCAGATGCAGTTCAATGTTATGCCCTTGAGGTGAGGGGAAAAGAGAGGGTAGGGCATAATTAGTGCTCAGGTTGGGGGGTTGTGGGTACAGAGAGGAAGCCCCACCTCCGAAAGAGAGGGACCTGGAACAATCAAGATTTACCCTGTTGTTAGCTGAGCCTCTGCTGGGAGGAGTGGAGAGAACCTGGGTTCAAGTTAGTGAGAGGGACTGTGGGGGTCTGAGGAAGCCTCACCCTGCTACTGGGTCCCAGAACAGTCTCGAAAAGCCTCTGTTGCCTTCTCTGCACCTCACAATGCAAAATTGTCAAGCTTCAGTCCCCTTTAGGTCTCCGTGGGAGCTGAGGGGATGTGAGAGCCTTGTTCTGAGATGTGACCCAAGTTGGGAGCAAGCAGGGAAGGCCTGGGCTCAGTTAGGTATAGATAAGGGGTGGGAGAGAGGGGCTGAGGGAATCTTACCTCAGAGAGAGGGTCCCGGAATAATCAGCAAGACCTCTGTTGCTTGCCCTATACCACGTGGTGAAGAATTTCTAGGCGAGGGCCAGGTTTTGCCTCACTAGACCCTGACAGAGTCAGATCCTTGTTATGAGGTCCGTGCTTCAGGTGGCAGGAGCAGAGCCAGCCTGGGCTCAGTTAGCGTCAGGCCCTACCCCAAGTCTAAGTGAGCAATGAAGCAGGACTGAGTATCCAGGACCCATGACAGTTGGAACCCAGTGTCCCTATGCTTTCCCTCTGAAGTGTGTCTTGCATTCTTGCCTGAAATCTGCGGGAGGATTCTGGGCCACCTAGGGGTGGGGCTCTTTGAAAGCCTCAGGACTTAAAGGGAGGACAATTAAGGGAACCTTCCATGCTAGACTGGAGGGTGACCTCCACCTTGCTGTCAGCACTGGTAGGCACAGTGCACCTTTCTGCCTGGCTCTTGATGTCAGGAAAGAGTGGGATTGGTCTGCGGAGTGTGGCATCAGTGAAACAGATCCAAGACATGGGAAACATGCCCCTGCTTTGGGGTGTCCTCAGGCAGGACAGAGACGAAGAGTCACCTCCATACACACCAGCTTCCACATTTGAGGCCACAGGGAAATGGTGGCATTGGATTGTGAGATGCATGCTAGGTCAGCAGAGGGGAAGTTTGAATCCATGGTCATGCTCCAGAGAAAGGAGGGCTTCTCTATCCTTGCTGTGCTGTCCAACCCTGAGGAAAGCCCATGCAGTTGTGGGCAGAAGTGCTGCATCTCATTTCTGTTTGCTTGAGCTCAGGGATGTCACATATTTGTGCACTGGGTCACTAGGTCACCGGAGCAGCCACTCCTGGTCCGCAGACAGAGGAGGCCAGAACCTGCAAGCTGTCAAGGTGAAGAACTTGGGTGAGAACTGAAGGTATGTAAGTATTTGACACACCCCAAAAGAAAGGAGTCCATAGAGCCTGGTATGCAGTGTTACCACTCTGGAGGCCTTAGGGATACCACACACTGCCTGGAGTCTATATCAGGGCAGAAAATACCCCATTTCTTGATGTATGGAACCTCAGCCTCAACCTGTCTCTACTGTCACTTATGGGAAGACCCAGGGACCATGGATGAACTCTCTTTCTCTTACTTTGTCTTTGCATGCTGATCTCAACCTCTCTCTCCCCACTAGGTCCTTGAATCCCCATTGCCAAGCTCCTGTCCGTGGGCACATACTACAGCCATCATGTCTGCATCTTCAAAGCTTTACCAAGTTGAGGAAGACCGCAAGGACCAAAGTGAGACAAAGGGCTTGGAGAACGGGCAGAGTTTCAATGCTGTGTAGCAGGAAGTCACCTCTTTCACTCCCTCTCATTGCTTCTCCTCCACATCCCCATCTTTCTTCTGTTCTCTGATCCTAGGCAACATAGAGGAGGTTTCTGCTGCTGGAATGCTGAATCCTCCTCAGCGTCCTGAGAGAAGCTCCTCTCCCTCCAACGCCGTGGCTGCCTCCCCATTGAGCGAATCCCATCTGGGCTCCAGCAGTGAAGAGCGTGGTTCATCCCCCTTGCTGGCCTTGCCAAAGAAGGAGTCCTTGAGTAGTGATGTCTTAGATGATAAGGTGGCTGAATTGATGGAGTTCCTGGAGCTTAAGTATCTACTTAAGCAGCCAACCACCAGGGCAGAAATGCAGATGATTGTTAGCAAAGATTATGAGGAGCAATTCACTGTGATCTTTGGGGAGGCTTCTAAGTGTATGCAGCTAGTCTTTGGCATTGATGTAAAAGAAGTGGGTTCTACCAACCCTTTCTATGTTCTTGCTCCTTCCCTGGGCCTCACCTATGATGGAATGGTGAGGGATGATCAGAGCCACCCCAGGACCATCATCCTGATAATCATCCTGAGCGTCATCCATAGACAGGGCAACCGTGCCAGAGAGGATGCCATCTGGGCAGTGCTGAGCACAATGGGTGTGTATCCCGGGAGTGAGCACTGCATATATGGGGAGCCAAGGAAATTCCTCACCAGGGATTTGGTGCAGGAACAGTACTTAGTATGTCTGAAGGTGCCAGACAGTGATCCTCCCCAGTATGAGTTCATATGGGGTCCAAGGGCCTATGCTGAAACCAGTGTGGAAAAAGTCCTGGAATTTTTGGGCAAACTGAAAGATAGCAAACTTAGGATCTTGCCTGTCTTTCAGGTGGAGGGTTCAGAAGATGGAAAAAAAGGAGACCAACGGTCAGGGCCAAAGAAAGAGTGATGACTAGGGCCAAGGCCAGGGACAGGGCACATACCAAGGCAACTTCTCCTGTCCCATGTAATTTCTGATACTTAAATTCTGTCATTGAAAAGAGCAGACACTTTTCTAAATAATGCAGATTCAGAATGGGGATTGGGTATGCTTAGTATATAACCTTTGCATTTGTCTGCTAGGTTTGACACTTGAAGATGGCTTTGTTTTTTTTCATATAGTGTTCCTTTTAGTAGAAGGTTTAATTAACTTCAAAATGTGCATTTCATTGGCACTGGACTCAAATCCATTGCTCTTTATACATTTTAAGAGTTTGGCTGTTTTATACAACAAATTGTAAAATCTTGCATCCTATTTTGTGATCTGGAACAAGGTAACTAGTCTTTGGAGTAAAGGCTTCCTTGAAAATGTGCATTTTGATATCACCGTTTATAGACCTATTGCTGTTTATACATTCTAAGAGTTCAGCTGTTTTCTAAAACAAATTGTAAAGTCTTGCATCCTATTTTGTTTTCTGGAGCAAGGTAACCCATCTTTGAAATAAAAGCTTTCTTGAAAATGTGCAAGAAGTCATGAGTAAAATAGATGAGGTCAATAAATACAGAAAAAAGTTCAAAACAATATTTACTTTCATTTATTACTTTTAGTTGTCTTTCTGTTAAATTAAAAATATATATAAGCCTAAATAGTACATGCTTGGTTAGTTAAAAATGTTGGATAAATTTACTCCTAATGAAGAACCCCAGCTGCTCACAGGACATTGCCCTTAGACCTTTGAGCAAATGCTCTTTGGAAGGCCCTGTGTTAGTGGTGCAGACATGGGTAAACTAGGGAAGTGGGACCCACTCTTGCCCACAAAATGGTGGAGCCTGGGCCCTTTCCGCACATCGCAGGGAATGGAGACATTTCCTCAAGACCTTACAGAACAAGGAAAAGAGCAGAGGAATGGCGAATGCTTGTGGCATCTTAGGGCTTAGGGAAACTGCAGTTCATTTTTTTTTTTTTTATATACTGGGAATTGAACTCAGGACCTTGCACGTACCAGGCAGGCCCTTCTGCCAGTGAGCTATCCTGCCAGGACGTAGGGCAGATTTCCTTGAAGGTGTACCCAGAAAGCACCAGACTGACACATTTTCCTGGCCTGGGAGCCAGGGGAAAGTGCACTGGAGCATTACAGTTCTGCTACCTTCAGTGGAGTTGGCATAACTCTGAACAAGGGCTAGGTTCGGGGTGGGACGAATATAGTGGTTTGAGAGAAAGCAGCTGCTAGAGAAAGAAGCAGCTGGTCCATCTCTCACATTCTAGGTACGTCGTGGTGCATCCATTCGGAAAGATGACTCCATGCCCAGATTCTGTAATATGTCTTCAGAGGGAGGAGCTACTGAACCTTACTCATGAAAAACCCCATTTTGGCCAATTAGGACTTCCACAGCCTGTAAAGCTGCATATCCCCTGATACGTCCTGGAGAGCAATGGCAGTAAGAACAGCACCCCGAGTGCTAGGGCTGGGATCAAATCCTGTTAGAGACGGCAGCCACCTGCCATTCAATGTGGTCACAACTCACGCCAGTCCCAGGGCTGGGTGCTTTACACACAGGACACAGCTTCCTGCAGTGCTTGTGGCCAGGCCTGGTCACACTTCCTTCACATATGAAGAGCTCCAGCCTCCCAGGGCTGGGAATTTCCCAGAGTGGCTGGCTGGTAAGTGACGGATGCGTAAGTACATCTGGAAGCCAGCACTGATCTTCCACCTCAGGTCCAAATTGCTGATTTACAAATCATTTCTCAGCACAGCTTAATGTCTCTCTGACAACGGAAAGAAGGATGGCGTGGGAGGCCAGTGCTACAGGAGCAAACCTAGAGAGATGACAGAGTCAAACACAGGTGGGGAGGGCCAAGGATATAGCTCAGTGGCACAGCACCTGCCTAGCAAGGACGAGGTCATGAGTTCAATTCCTGGAAACCCAAAAATCAAAAACAAAAACAAACTAATACAGGTGGGGCAATGTCTGTTCTGAAAGCAAACTGACTCAGGTACTTTTCTCATGGCTGAGTTTAAATACTCAACATCCAAGTGAACATCCAAAAGGTTCATCTTGGCACACAGTCTGTAGAGGTTTGAGGGTAAAATTGGCTGGCTCCAAGGCAGGGTAGCTTGGCAGAGGGGCCTCACAGAGGAGAAACGTTCATGGCAGGCAGAAGGCATCAAAAGCAGCAAGCAGCGATAGCAGCCTTCTGTCCCCTATATTTTGTCTGGGCCCATGGCCATAGGGTGGGTAAAACTCACAGCCAGGGGTGGTCATTCCCGTTATCTACACCCAGACCTATGCCAAAGGATTCAGTGGACAAATTTAGTAACCACACACCCTTAGTCACACCATCACACCCTTAATCCCATCATCACACACTCTAGATCCAGCCACCTCTGAACAGCCACAGCTACGACTGCATGAGGCTTTGGAGGGACATCTCGACACAAGCCATAACACCAACTATGCCCAGTTGTGGATATTTCTGCCCAGCGCAAGCGCTTTCCCACTATACAAACCTCTTCCCTGCTATCCCCCATGTGCTGTCCCTTCCAGCTCTGGCACCTGGCTTGATCATCAGCCCTTCCCTGCTGCCCCCTCTTGAGGACACACCGAATTCCCTGTCCTCCCCATGGCGCTTGTCTCATGAGTTCCTGGCTGTCCTCAGCTCACCCACTCTCCTTTGATAGGCACGACCCTTGGTCACAGAAGTGCACTCAGGACTGTTATGTTAGATACCTCGTTATCCCTACCTAGGAGCCATCACATTTTTTATTTTCCCTATGGGCTGTGAGGAGACTTCCTCTTGGTTGTCATTTTACTATCTCACTGCGCTCTTGGCCTGTAATGCTCAGGGTGGAGGGAAGATTTTTTAAGACTACTCCTTATAATAGGATTTTATTAAGCATAGTATTAGAAGCTGGAAAATGAACACCTAAACACATGGATAGGTTTGCTTTGGGGTCAGCACCTAACGCTTCATCATCAGTGGTAGACGAGGAACGACCGTTTCCTGAAGCCAAATTTCTAGAGACCACACAGTCCTCCTCGGAGGTAAGAAGTGGTTCCTTCACAGACATGCTGGCTCAGGTGGGAAGAGAAAAGGTCATCTGCCGCCTTTCCTGCCTCCTGTCTGGCGCCTGCTTGTCAGAAGACGCGGGCTTTCAGGGTAACGGATGCACCTGCGCAGGTGCTGGGGTCAGAGCGGTCCTGTGGAGGGGAACAGAGAGCCACAGGTTAAGGCTTCCGGCCTGCACCCAATGGGAGGAGAAAACCCCGTTCTGAGCAGAGTGTTTTGCAAAGGGAAGTGCAGGAAACCGCTGTGGCGGAAGTAGTTGACCCCACTCTGCTCGCTTTCACATGGTCCTCTTCACATCAGATGGGACAGTGCAGGATTTAAAAGCGTGTGTCACTGGGTAGGCACTTAAGACTTCAGAGAACTTCAAGGCAAACCGGTCTACTCAGGAACATCTCCAAGATATGAGGAGCGATGTTGCCTCACAAAGGACACAGTTGCTTTTTGCTGAGTACCTACTCTGTGACGACTCACGGGGAAACAGTACAAGTAGCCATCCACGTGTCGTCCTGTCCCTCCTAGGCAGAGGGGAACCTGACCGCCCCCCTGTCACTACAAAGAGGCACGTGACATTTCCTTCCCGGTGAAAGGTGTAGGAAGTGTCACATCCAGGCATTTGCGAGCCAGTGTGCATTCCTGTGCTTTCCCACGTTTCCAGCAAATAGGCAGGTCCGTGTTCACATGAGGGACCCCAGGACGGAAGCGGCCGGGATCCCTGCAGCTCCTGAAGGCAGAGAGTGCCTGCAGAACCACATCAGAATTTATTTACACAGAAAACTAACTTTCATGATGTGAAGCTGCTCAAATTCTAGATTTTGTCTCTTGTATAAGGTAGCAGTTAATTTAAATTATATACAGCTAGCATTTCTGCTGTTACACTTATTGATATATGTTAAGTGCAAAAATACAATGCATTTGTTTCTGTTGCAAAACAAATCTAACAGTACAGGTTTAATTTCCTCTTTCCAAATTTTCTCACCTCTTCAGAGATCACTGAGCTTAGTCTAGTACATGTTATTTTAAAGTGTACTTGAGAATCTTTTCATATACAGATGTGCTAATAAGTTTTATTGGTCATATTAACATAGATCGGTGTGATGTTAACCTTAATCATGGCATTTGATTGGCTTGTTGACCACTTAGGAAAGCACTCTCCTGGGTATGTGCTGGTGTCAAGTATTTTGTCCCAGCAATGGGTGAGCTAACTAATACAATTGGTAATGATGTATGTGTTAATCTACAGCTTCCTGTAACACTAAATACAGTGGAATCAGAATCTTTCTATGACCGCATACTACTCTGCAGAATTCTAAAGCATCCTTGTGCCACAAATAAACCATTTTCCTTGTGAACACCAATTATACTCCATTTTTTTTTGTTAGAAGTGAAATCAACATTTTGTAGACAAATTCTGCAAACTTACATCTGTTCTACTAAGAAGGTAGCAACATAGACATTGAATTGCAGTGAAATTGATGGGTATATTTTAACTTTTTATAAATACTGCCCAATTTTATTCAAATATGCTATACTAGCTTGTATACTCATAAAAATTACAGATGATTTTAAATTCTGAAATGTTAGTATGACATTTCCCTTTTTCATTCAAGGAGATAGAATTTCTGTGGAACTATCCAGGATCCAGCAGAGGAAAGCACACAGGATATCCTCATAAAGAAAGGGATTTTGGAGCCGGCCATAGTGGCACATAGTGGTAATCCCAGCACTTGGGAGGCTGAGGCAGGAGGATCATTGTGAGTTTGAGACCTGCCTGGGCTACAGAGTGAGCTCAAGGCCAACCTGACCTGCACAGGAAGACCCTGTCAAAAAGAAAAAAAGAAAAGAAAAGATTAGAAAGGGATTTTGGGAGGATCCAGGTGAGAATAGTGGCTAATATTCATGAGAGACACTAATGTTAACTAGTTTACCATTGCTGGTACCCAATACCTCACACACACAAGTTAAAGGACATGAGGTTTAATTTACTTCAGAGTTTCAGAGGATTCACGCTTTGTTTGGTGGGCCCCAAGGCAGAAACGGCATGGCACAAAGGCATGGTGGAGGAAGGCTGCTCACTTCCATGACAGCCTGGAAGGACAGAGAGAAAGGGAACCCCAGGAGGGAGATTTACCATCTAAACTCACACCACCAGTGACACACCCCATCTAAACATTACATTTAGGGATAAACTGATGAATAGATCAATTCACTGGTGAGTGGATCACCTCCATGATCCAATGATTTTCCAAAAGCTCCAACTCTGAGCACATGAGACTTTGTGGGACATTCAAGATCTAAACCATAGCAACACCACATGAAGAAGTATTTCAGAGGGCCACCAGAGAGCTGTAACTCAGAGCTCTTGATACACAGTTAGCACAGAGGGGAGGCGAGGGAGACAGGAGGAGGGAGTCCTATACATGAATAGAATTGGGTAATCTTGGACACATTGCCATCAGCTATAAGTGGCAATGAGGTGTCACTAGACAAACCTAT